ATCACCACCCTCGGCTAATTTTTTGATTTATTGTAGAGATGAGGTCTCGTCGTGTTGCCTAGGATGGTCTCAAACCTGTGGGCTCAGGCAGTGCTCTTGCCTCAGCCTCCCAAAGTGCTGGCTGGGATTACAGGCATGAGCCACCACGTCCAACAAAAGTTTTTATTTTGATGATGTCCAGTTTGTCTACTTTATCTTTCATAGTTTGTGCTTTTGCTCTCATATCTAAGAAACCATTACATAATCCAAGGTTACAAAGATTTATTCCTATGTGTTCTTCTAAGAGTTTTATACTGTTAGCTCTTATATTTAAGTCTATGATCCATTTTAAGTTAATTTTTATGTATGGTGTTATATGGAAGGTGACAACTCAATTCTTTTTCATGTGGATAACTTCTGTCCCAAAATCACTTGTTTAAAGGCTTCTTTTTCCATTGATTTATTTGGGCACTCCTGTCAAAATAACTTCATTATAAACTTAAAAGTTAATTTCTGAAATCTCAATTTTATTTCATTATCTAATACATCCATCCCTATACTAGAACAGTCTGTCTTGATTACTATATCTTTGTGATAAGTTTTGATATTAGGAAGAGTAAGTCCTCTAACTTTATTTTTCTTTTTCAAGACTATCTCAGCTATTCTGAGTTCTTTGCACTGTAGTATTATCTTGCCAATTCTTGCAAATAAGTCAACTGAAATTTTGATGGAGATTTCAGTTGCCTCCCCTACTATCACTGTCCTGCATTACATTAATGAATTAGAATTAATGAACCTGCATCGATACATTATTACCCAAAGTTCATAGTTTACATTAGGGTTCACTCTTGGTGTTGTATGTTCTGTGGGTTTTGTCAATTTGTAATGTTATGTGTCTACCATTATAGCATCATACAGAATAGTTTTAATGTCCTACAAATCCTTTGTGGCTCTTCCTGTTCCTCCCTAGCCCTTCTGACAGCCACTTAACTCCCACTGTGTCTATGGTTTTGCCTTTTCCAGAATGTTGTATAGCTGGAGTCATACAGTATATATATATGTTTTCAGTTAAATCTGTTGATCAATTTGTGGAGTACTGCCATCTTAACATTAGGTCTTCTAACCCGTAAACTTGGGATATCTTTCCATTTACTTAAGTCTTTTTTAATTTCCTTTAACCATGTTGTGTAGATTTCAGAGTATAAAATTTGTACTTTGTTACATTTATTCCTAAATTTTTTTTATGATATTGTAAATGAAAATGTTTTCTTCATTTTGTTTCCAGATTGTATAGAAATATAACTGATTTTTGTATGTTGATCTTGTATCCTGGAGTCTTGCTGAAAGAAAACTTTTAAACTGAAGAGATAAAGAAATTTTAAACTTTTTATTTCTAAAAGTCAGAGTTCATAATTTGACCCATATACGAGGGGGGGCCTCAGAAAAAACGGAATTGTCTTTTGGAGGACGGCCCCTTGTAGTACACATGGAATTTGTTCCCATTTCTGTCTGGAAGTTTTGAAAAGATTGCATCATGTCCTGAGTTGTGGCAAATAGATAACTGGTTCTTCTGCCATGATAATGCACCTGCCTACACTGCTCTGAGTATTCAGCAGTTTTTGACCAAAAACAGCATGACCCCCTTGTCCCACCCTCCCTTTTCACCTGATCTTGCCCCAAGGGACTTTTTTTGTTGTTGTTGTTTCCCTGGGTAAAAAATCCTCAAAGGGAAACATTTTGCCAATGTGGAAGAGGTGAAATAAAAAACGGCAGAAGCACTAAAAGGCATCCAAATTGATGAGTTCAAAACTGTTTTGAGCAGTGGAAAAAGCATCTCGATAGGTACATTGCATCAAACAGAGAGTACTTGGAGGGTGACTGAAGTTTAAACATGTAAGAATAAATACACAATTTATAAATAACTTCTGGGTTTTTTGCCCCCCCCCCCATAATGTCCAATTAGGTATGCCAAGTTATGTCATAAGGCTTTCCTAGTAAATATGAATGAAAATTGGCCGGTTTTCTCCATGCCATGCTAGTTGATTAATATAAAATTGTCTCTGGACTCATGCTCATTAAGAGAGTTATATAAATTGAAAATTATTATATAGACTTAAGATATTAAGGAATCTGGCTATATATCCTGGATTCTATTCCAAGCATACTCTGACAGAATGACTTTAAGTGAGTACTTTAAAAGAACTTCGATTCTGGACATGTTTATTTTTTAATGTGTTCATATTTTGAACTGAATCTTTTTTATTTTTTGGTTCATTGTTTTTGTTAATTCCTTCTGAAACTGCTTTCTTTATTTTAATTTGTTTTTTGGTTCTTTATTCAATTGAGCTCAAGTTTGCAGAAGAAAAGAATCTGTAGATACAAATATCAGAATGGTTCACAAGGGTAGCTTTTGGCAACTTTGTCACTTTGTGTGATTTGGACTTTCTAACAGGTTTATGATAAATATCAGTCAAGATTAAGCACTGAATTCCAAGCTCCACTAGCATTTCAGTCTGGAGTATATCAAGAAGAAGAGAAGAAAGAGGTATGTAATGATACTGCTTTTGGACACCACTATTTCTACTGGGATTATATGTGAAATTGGAAGCAATTTGTTGTGTCCCAACACATTAAGAGCTAATACCACAAATTCCATAGGTTAAAAAAAGTTGCCTGAGTTATTATAATATGTTGAATTTCTTTTCAAAGTTCCTGGGAATTAGCATACATTGATGTGAGATCCAAGATCTGATCCCGTGAATTTCTCCAGCTAGTGTATATTTGCCACTATAACTTATTTAAAGGAAGATTAACTTATGGCTTCCTGTTTTTTCCTTTTCAGCTTACAAGTTAGTTTAAACCAACAGTTCTTAACCCTGACCACATACCAATATCAGATATGTGGAGCTTTTTTCAAAAAACATATGCCTGTATCTAAATTAGATATACTAAGTCAATATCTGAAAACTGACCATTGGTTATTTTGATGCATCCTCAGTATTGAGAACTGCTATTTAGACTTTCCTTTTTTTTAAGTTGGAGTCTCACTCTGTCACCCACGCTGGAGTACCATGGCATACTCATGGCCACCCCAGCGTTAACCTGCTGGGCTCTGGTAATTTTTTTTATTTATTGTAGAGATGAGGTGTTGCCAAGTTGCCCAGGCTGGTCTCAAACCCGTGGGCTCAGGCAATCCCCTCAGCTCGGCCTCCCAAAGTGCTGAGCCACCGAACCCAACCTGTTTAGACTTTCAATGCTTTTTACTAAAAAGCCCTACAATACCCTGGTATAAACATGTACATACTTTTTGCCTTTTGAGTAGCTTGAATACTTAAAAGAGAATATTTAAATCCAAAGGTATGAACAGATCATATACAGTATAATAGCACCTGCTTTTATTATACTTATTCTATTTACAAGTATGGTGCTCTGATATACCTCAGCCCTTCTACCTTCCTCCTTACTTATCATTATAGGCTTAGAGTACTTTTGCGATATGGTTTTAATTTTGAAAAGTTAAAGTGACTATTGTTCTGTTATAAAATAGCTCATGGCCGGGCTCTGTGGCTCAGCCTGTAATCCCAGCACTTTAGAAGGCTGAGGCGAGTGGATTGCCAGAGTCTGAGGGTTCAAGACCCACCTGGGCAACTTGGCGAGATCTCATCTCTACAATAAATTTTTTAAAAAATTAGCTGGGCGTGGTAGCGCGTGCCTGCAGTTCCAGCTACTTAGAAGGCTGAGGTGGAAGGATCGCCAGAGCTCAGCAGGTCAAGGCTCTGGTAGCCGGGAGCGTGCCACTGCACTCCAGTCTGGGCGACAAAGTGAGACTCCAATCAAAAAAAAAATAGTTTCTACATTATTTCTGTGGCCCTGTTTTTATGGCACTACTACTTGGGAACACAGAGTAAATATAGTCTATATCTTATCCTATCACATAAAATCATTTCCCCAAGTACTACTGACAAAGGACTATGCCAAGGACAAACTAAATAGCACTTCTTTCTCTGGTTTGCCTGTTAACATATAATAGCTATGTACTTGAAAATATAAACTTCTTGTGTATCTGATATCCTGAGTTACCTTAGACAGAAGGAAATTAAACACTTAATCCCATGTAACTTCTGTATCATGGTTTTTTTGGTCTATGGTATAAAAATATTTTCCTTCCTTGGAAAGTCCTCTGAAAGCCTAATCTTAATAATTTTATCTTCTTTCCTTTAGCGTCAAAGGCAGTACTTGAGATATAGACGACTTTTCATGGATATTGAGAGAGAGCAAGTAAAAGAAAAACAAAGGCAAAAAGAACAAAAGAAGAAAATTGAAAAGTAAGTTATTTGATCCTCATTATGAACCTTAAATTACCAATTAAGATGTTTTTGGAAGCTAAATTTCAGAAAAAGGCAATGACTTTATCTTCTGATCTGTACTAAAAACAACTGTTTTTGACCAGGGTAGAGCATTAGATGATGGTAATCAGTTTGATTTTCTAATAGACTTTATTTGTTAGAGCAATTTTAGGTGCACAGCAAAATTGAGCAGAAAGTACAGAAAGTTCCCATATACCCCTGACCCCCACATGCATAGCCCTACTATCACTGACCTGATACAATTTGTTAGAATTAATGAACCTGTGTTGATACATTATTACCCAAAGTTCATAGTTTACATTAGTGTTCACTCTGGGTGTTATGTGTTCTTTGGGTTTTGACAAATTTGTAATGTTATGTGTCCACCATTATAGCATCATACAGAATAGTTTCACTGTCCTACAAATCCTTTGTACTCTGCCTGTTCCTTCCTCTTTACCTCTGGCCCTTCTGACAGCCACTGAACTTGCACTGTGTCTTTGGTTTTGCCTTTTCCTGAATGTCATATAGCTGTAGGCATATAGTATATATATACGTTTTCAGATTGGCTTCCTATACTTAGAATGTGCGTTTGTGTTTCCTCTAATGCCTTTTTATGGCCTGATAACTCATTTCTTTGTAGCACTGAATCACATCCCATTGTCTGGATGTGTCACAGTTTAGTTATTAATTTACCTACTGAAGGACATCTTGGTTGATCTCAAGATTTGGCAGTTATTAATAAAGTTACTATAAACATCTGTGTGCAGGGTTTGGTATAGGCATATCTTTTCAGCTCATTTGGAAAGGAGTGTGGTTGCTGGATCATATGGTAAGACTATGTTCAGCTTTTGTAAGACACTATCAAACTGTCTTCCAAAGTAATGATACCATTTTGCATTCCCACCAGCAATGAATAAGAGTTCCTGTTGCTCCACATCCTAGCCAGCATTTGGTGTTGTCAGTATTTTGGGTTTTCCATCTAGTAGGTGTGTAGTGGTATTTTGTTGCTTATTCCTTCATGATATATGATAGGGGTACCTTTTCGTTTGCTTATTTGTCATCTGTTTATCTTCTTTGGTGATGCATCTGTTAAGGTTTTTCTCTTCTTTTTTAACTGGGTCATTTGTTATTGCTGAGTTTTAAGAGTTCTCTTTGTGTATTTTGTGCAGATAGTTCTTTCAAAACTGTTTTTTGTTGTAGTCTGTGGCATATTTTCTTATCTGCTAACAGTGTCTTTTGCAGAGCAGAAGTTTTTTAATCTTAATGAAGTCCAGCATATTCATTCTTTCTGTCATGGACTGTGTCTCTCATGTTATATATAAAAAAAATCACTGCCGTACCCAAAGTCTCCTATATTTTCTCATATGTTATCTTTTAGGAGTTTTATAGTTTTGTGTTTTAGCTTATAGTTTTATGTTTTACATTTAGCTCTATGATCCATTTTTTAAATTTTTGTTAGATCTGTAAGATATTTGTCATTTTTTTAAAAATGTGGATATCCAGTTGTACCAGCACCATTTGTTGAAGAAACTATCTTTTCTTCATTGTATTGCCTTTGGCTCTTTCCTCAAAAGTCAGTTAATTGTATTCATGTGGTTCTATTTTTAGACTTTGTTCTATTGATCTATTTGTCTGTTGTTCTTTTGCCAGTACCACACTGTTGCAGTCTTGGTTACTGTAGCTTTACTTATTTTTATTAATACATAATGTACATATTTACAGGGCACGTGTAATATTTTGATACACGTATACAGTGTGAAATGATCAAATTAGGGTATTTAATATATCATCATCTCAAACATTTATCTTTTCTATGTGTTGAGAACATTTCAAATCTTCCCTTCTAGCTATTTTGAAATATACAATAAATTATAGTTAATTATAGTCACCCTTCTGTGCTATAAGTAAGTAGAATTTATTTCATCTATCTAATTGTATGTTTTACCCATTAACCAACTGCTCTTCATCTTCTTCCTCCCTTCCTAGTAACTGGTAACTATCATTCTGCCTCTTTATGATAAACTTTTTAGTTCCCATGTATGAATGAGAACATGTGATATTTATCTTTCTGTGCCTGTCTTATTTCATTTAACTTAATGACTTTCAGTTCCATTCATGTTGTTGCAAATGACAGCATTTCATTTTTTTTATGGCAGAATAGTATTTCATTATGTTTATATACCACATTTTCTTTATTCATTCATTTGTTCATTAACACTTAGGTTGATTCAGTATATTGAAAATTGTGAATAGTGCATCAATAAATATAAGGTTACAGGTATCCCATTGATATACTGATTTATTTTTCTTTGGATAAATATCCAGTAGTAGAATTGCTGGATCATATGGATCATAGTTTTTTGAGAAACCTTCATACTGTTTTCTATAATTGCTATACTAATTTACATTTCCACCAACAATGTTTAAGCGTTTCCATTTCTCCCTATTCTCAGAAGTATTTGTTATTTTTCATCTTTTTGATAATAACCATTTTAACTGGGGTGAGATGATATCTCATTGTGGTTTTGATTTGCATTTCTCTGATATTGGTGATGTTGAGCATTTTTTCCCATACCTGTTGGCCATTTGTGTGTCTTGTTTTGAGAAATGTCTTTTCATCAACTTTGCCTACTTTTTAAAGGAATTATTTGGTTTTCTACTGTTGAATTGTTTCAGGTCCCTGGAAGGTGTTTATGGATGCTAGGGGTGGAGGGTGAAGCAGGTTGATCCCTAGGTCCCCAGACAACAATCATGGATGCCTGCAGTAGTGGCAGTGGGTAGGGCAGGACTGTCCTTGGGCCCCTGGATGGTATGCCTGGATACTGACGGCAATGGGTGGGGTATGTAGCTTTATAGTAAGTCTTATTGGGTAGTTTCAGTCTTCCAACTTTGTTATTCTCCTTTAATATTGTGTTAACTATTCTGGGTCTTTTACCTCTCCATATAAACGAGGATACATTTGTTAATGTCCACAGTGAGATTTTTATTGGAATTGAGTTAAATGTATAGATCAAACTAGGAAGAACTGACATCTCTGACAATATTCTTCCTATCCATGACCATGGAATATTTTTCTATTTATTTAGTCCTGCATTGATTTTTTTCTTCCGAGTTTTGTTTTGCCTATATAGATCTTGTACATATTTAAGATTTATATCTAAGTATTTCATTTTGGAGGGTGCCAATGTGAATGGTATTGTGTTTTAAATTTCAAAGTCTACCTGTTCATTGCTGGTATATAGGAAAGTGATTGACTTTTGTACATTACACTTGTATCCTTCAACCTTACTGTAATCAATTACTGACTTCAAGAATTCCTTTGAGAATTCTTTCATTATTAGATAATCATGTTATCCATGAACAAAGATAGTTTTATTTCTTCCTTTCCCATCTGTATACCTTTTATTTCCTTTCCTTGTCTTACTTCATTAGCTAGGACTTGCAGAACAATGTTAAAAGGAGTGGTAAGAGAGTAAATCCTTGCCTTGTTTTTGATCTTAACAAGAAAACTTACAGTTTCTCCCCATTAATTATAATGTTAGCATTAATATTTTATAGATGCTCTTTATCAAGTTGAAGAAGTTTTCCTCAGTCAGTTACATTTTTTAATATACAGGTTTGTACTGAATTCCTCTCAGAGATCAACCCAGTTGTCTTGGCAAGCTTTATAGTGCCTCCTGACTTGTAAAAAATATATATAAAAAGTTATAGTGAAATCTTATCGATCTATTTTTTTTTTTTTTTTTTTTTGAGTTGGAGTCTCACTCTGTCGCTCAGACTGGAGTGCAGTGGCCACTCCCAGCCACCGCAGCCTCTACCTGCTGGGCTCCAGCAATCCTTCCACCTCAGCCTTCCAGGTAGCTAGAACTACAGGCGCGCGCTACCACACTCGGCTAATTTTTTGATTCATTGTAGAGATGAGGTCTCGCCAAGTTGCCCAGGCAGGTCTCGAATCCGTGGGTTCAGGCAATCCACTCACCTCGGCCTCCCAAAGTGCGGGATTACAGGCTGAGCCACCAAGCCCAGCTTCTTATCTATCTAATATGAGAATTTGTTTAATCAGATCTTATTGGCCTGCTATGCATAAAGCATTAAACAAAGTGCTAATAATATGTCAAAATACTTTGAAATTTATGAAGTGCTATACAATAAGGCAATAAGACTTTTATTTTATAATATTGCCTGTAATACTGTAACAAAAACTGTTGCAAGGTTACTGTAAAATGCCAGAAATGTGTTCAAATAGCATCATGGATAGTCTTTGCCCCTAAAAGCTTCCTAATTCCTTTACGATGTTATTTCGACTCAGTGAAAGAAAATAAATCTTTTAATTATTAATTCTTTTCTTTTTTAGTATTACTAATAAGTTTTCCTTCATAGTAATGGGTAATTGTTTCTGTAATAGAAGTATTCTTTATTTAGAAGAATTATTTTTTAAAAAAACAACTACAGCCGGGCTCGGTGGCTCAGCCTGTAATCATGTGCCTTTGGGAGGCTGAGGTGAGTATATTGCCTGAGCCTGCGGGTTCGAGACCCTTCTGGGCAGCGAGACCTCATATTTACAATAAATCAAAAAATCAGCCGGACGTGGTAGTACATGCCTGTAATTCTGGCTACTTGGAAGGCTGAGGCGGAAGGATCACCGGAGCCTAGCAGGTCAAGGCTGCGGTGGCCGGGAGCAGCCACTGCACTCCAGTCTGGGCGACAGAGTGAGACTCCAACTCAAAAACAAACAAACAAACAAACTACTACTGGTGTAGTGGCTATGGCAAAGAAAATATTTATTGGGTTCTAAGTGCTTTCATATGTATTTTCATTTGTTTATAGTTTATTCATGGGATTATTTATTTAAGCCTACCTCTAACATTTATGGAAATGGTCTTGAGTACAAATACTTTACACCTAAAGTTTGTGTATATACATTACACCTAAATATTTAAATATCATAAACTAAGCTAAAAACTGTTAAATAATAT